AAAAGAGAAAAAGGTGTAACCAAAAAATAACTTAAGAGGAGAAAAGGTACTCATTTGCTTTGGTGATATTGTAGTTTTGGGATATTTGTAAAGCAAAATATAGTATCTCTCTCTCTCTCCCTTTCTCTATCTTTCTCCTTCTTTCCTTCTATAAGACACATTTTAAATGACTCTTCAACATTTATTTGTTAGCTTCTTATCTGAACCAATAGCATCAGTTCTGGACCAGTACCAGGATCAGGAAGGCTGTTATAGAAACAATTGAATAATAAATGGTTAATGGCCTAAGGAGCAATAAATAGAGTCAATCAGAGTTGAATGCTCAATGGCTCTACGCAAGGGTCTTCCTACACTAAAAATAATGTAAATAACAAATAATAGGAGCCCATTTGTATTGTTTCTTACATGAGTAATTAAAAAGCAGCATGTTTATATATTCACCAACCCATATAAAGACTTGTCAAACCATAACATCATATATTAAAAACAAGTTAATTAAAATAAAAGTAGGCTGGGTGTGGTAGTTTACATTTGTAATTCTAGCACTTTGGGAGGCTGAGGTGGGAAGATTGTTTGAGGCCAGGAGTTCGAGACCAGCCTGGGCAACATAGCAAGATCCTGTTTCTACAAAAAATTAAAAAATAGCACACCTGTAGTCCCAGGTACCTGGGAGACTAGGGCGGGAGGATTGCTTGAGCCAAGGAGTTTGGGCTGGCAGTGAGCTATGATCACACCACTGCACTCTAGCCTGGGCAACAGAGGGAGATCTTGTCTCAACAACAACAAAAAAGTAAAATTAGTATATCACACAAAAACATGCAAACTATGCTGTTACGTAACAGGTGTCATTGAAAAATTAAAGAGAATTATAGATAATTCTAAAATAAAAATAATAATTTTCACTATATAGTTCAATTAAAGTATTGGGTGATATATATTACACTTACTTTGAAATGCAGCAAGACATTTAAAGAAAAATTGGGATATGTTATTTCCCATATAAAATATACCAAAGTACACTAAAATGGCAAAATTGCTCAAATATCATTAGCTGCTAATGGAATTTTTAACTACAAACATGCATGTATTAAATTTTATCAATATTTATTCTTCTGGAAATAGAAAAAGGCCCGAAGCTTATTTTAGAAATTGCTATTATTTTTACTCAGTGGCCCCTCTATTTTCCACATGGTGATGTCAATAATCAATCCTAGACATAAATCATTTTAGCAGTTTGCTTGCTTTGGAGGCATAAGCAGAGTTCATTGTCAGTCAGGTGACTTTCCTCTCTAACCTTTCCAAAAGATATATTCTTTCATGCAACCAAGAAATGTTCCTGCTCATCAAGACTGTGCTGTTATCCATTTCATCTCAGGGATTACTTCTCACTTCCAGGTACTACTGGCTTATCCATTTTGACTAAATTCTTGTCCCCAAATTACTTATCTTTACAGTGGCTTCCTTGCTGCCTGTTTTGTCACAGGAAGCAGAGGAGGAGGCCATTTTGGTGTTACATCAATATATTGAAAAATTACAACTCTTAACTCTGCTCAGGATTCTATTCTTCTAACTAGTGAGTCCCTGTTCTACAATTCTATTTCCACGTGCTCCTAAAACATAGTTCTATTGCTGGGGCACTGAAAGTGGCAGAAAAAAGGCATGGGGAGTCCATGGAATTAGTGACCCAAATGCTCTGAATTTAAAGCTTTGTTTTTTTAAGACCTAATTAAGTGCTTCTGATATTTCATTTCTCCTAACAAGTAATCCATTCCTATCACTCCTGAAGCAGAAGAAATGGAACATCCAATTAAACTGGATAGACATTCCTTCTCTCAAACTTTCACAGATTGGTCTTTGTCAGGACAAGTAAGATAGAGTAGCTATCAAGCAATGTGTAATGGCGATTTGAGGTGCATAAAACCATTCTAATCCTTTAGAATGGTTTCTTATATATTTTCAATGTCTACGCAACAGACTGTCTTTAAATACAGCCTCCTCACAACACTACTAATTGTCCAGGGACCCACTCTCCTTTTCTTGAGATTATGGGTGTTTGAGGGCGTTGAGTAAATATGCAGAAGGGGATGTCCATGCACAAATATTTGGGGGATAAAGCAAAACCCTGTGGCAGAGACAGGAACCATTCCTGAGTGATGGTGAGATGCTTAATGTCGACAAATTGGTGCTAAGAGGGTTACACCAGTGCCCAAGGTAGTCTTTGAGTCCTCCAACAATGCCTTTCGTGGTTAGGAGGATTGAACCTAGTTTGCCCAGGACATTCCAGTGTATGACTACTGTTTCTATTATCTTAATGTAACTGGTACTCCCTCTCACTCTCTGAAGTGTCTCAGTTTAGACAATAAATTATACAGTCACCCTGTCTATATTTACGGTAGAACTTTGCCAAATCCACCCACTTTTCTGTAGCAGGACTCTCTTTTTGGGCAGCCTGTCCTGTATCAGCTGCCTGGATCCCAGTCCTCCTGCCCAGCCTATTAACCCTCCTCCTTTCTCTCGACTCTGCTAACCCCAAATCTTTTCATCTCCAGGAATTCTTTCTTTTTTTCTTCCCTCCTTCGTCACCCAGAAAACTTACTTCCTTCAAACTCCTTCAAAGCCACCCTCCTTATAGTCCCTGCTTATCTTCTTTCACAATGAAACTTCGACAATGCTGATATTCAACTTGTTCAAAAAACTGGTATACAATTTGGACAGTCCTGGTGCCACCAGCCGTTAAATATTTTTAAAAACTATCCCTGATCCAGAGGCCATTAACCCAGGAGTCTCTCAAACTTACTAAACCAGTCTCTCATAGCAGAGAGCCCAGAACGCCACAGGCGATTCTCTTGAACAGTGAGCACTGACCAATCCTGGCCTTATGTGTCCCAGACAGCTTAGACACTATCTCACTTAATTCTCATAATTTTACAGAAAGGCAACACAGTGTAGCAGTTAGGAGCACAAAGTTCTGAAAATAACCAAACAGGGTTTAAATCTAGGCTTCAACACTAAGTAATTTTTGAAAATTTACTGAAGCTCTGTTTCAATTTTCCCTGTAAAATGTGGCTAATAGTACTTATTCTCATACCTATGGTAAATATAAAACAAGTTAACATATATAAAGCACCTAGATTAGTATCTAGTAATTATTTTTAAAATGTTAGCCATTGTTACCTGTTTTAAGTTGAGGACAATTCCAAGATGGCATGGCCAGTGGTGATGCTGACATCTAAAACCAGGCTTTCTGCATCTCAATTCCATGCACTTTCTGACACTGCTACCCAAGTGCTCTCCTATACGTAATAAAAAGCAGTACAGTACGCTAATGAATGATAGGGGAAGTATTATATTTTATCATGTGACACCATATAATTGTAGTCACACAGCCACCTAACCACACAATACAGATTTATTATAAATAGGGAAGATGGCTCAGAAATAGCAGTACTAGTGATTTAAGTATTGACCTTTATGTGATAAAGGAAAAGTTCTGACTGATTTACAGAGATTTTAAAATACAACTTTGTATTGATTAGTTTCATATTTTCTTAAAAGAACTACTGTACTGAACCAAAATTAACTAAGTATAATTTATTCACATACTCAAACTACATTTGAAAAGGTTAAAAATTTCCCATCTCAGTCCATTTTTCTCTTCTCAACATTACTACAAATGCTTCCTTCCTCAGCATCTGCTATATCATTGCCGGGAGGAATCTCTCGCAAGTACTGACGTTTACTTTCCTTCCCTTCAGAAGCACACTGATAACGCCAATATTCCCAGAACTTGTACCTTCTGTCTTTTTGAGATGTGCTTCTTTTTGGCATAACAAAAATCAAAAACAAAAACAAAAACATACCACTAGGATACTGAAAAACTAAATTCTGGGCCTGGCTATGTCATAAACTATATCTTAGGTTAGGTATCCTCCCCAAGCACGTTTCTCAACGGCAAAAAAGAATTCATGTTTGCCTAGTCCTTTGTAGCCCTTTATTATTTATCTTCACTATAACACTTAAATAAGGCAGAAAGGTTACCGTCTACCCAAGAGCTCACAGATAACAACATATTCGGCAAAGCTAAATTTATACAATCTCACTGAAGATCCTAGTACTGGTACATATTATACTCCTGAGTTTGTTAAATGGATGAAGCAGCAATTTCCCAAGTTCCTTACAATGATCTTTCCATGCTTCTACTTGCTATTTTTTCCTTCTCTCAACTAACATTAAAATCAAAATACATATATATATATATATATATATATTTGATCACCTAATTTCTTTACCATGATTCTTCAACTGCTTTTTAAAATGTTCTTGTACTTCTATATTAAATCCAGAGAAAAATTATTTTTTCAAATAGTTCCCACTGCTCCACACCTCTCTGAAAGCTTTTAAATTTACCTATTTGTTAAAGTAGGGATTGCTAACATTTTATAAACACTGCTAATTACGTTTTATAATTTTAAAGATAGTTATTCAATACTTAAAACCAATTCAAAAGAAAGGAAATTCTTGCTAATTCTTATTCCTTGGAGTAGCAGTAAAGATGTATTTTCTACTGATTTTGCATCCAGTCCTCCACCTGCCTTTATTTGAGAAATACTATTATTCTACCTTACTGTTGAGCCTCTCTTTCCCTACAAAAAATGTTACAGTCTTAAGAATCAGGAAAGCTCTTACTTTCAATACTATCCAAAGGAAGAATGAACTAACCACTTAAATTGTAAGGTGAAACTTTGAATGTTAAATGACGGATTCAGGACATTTACCAAGGGGCCATATAACCAACTAAAACACTGATATGATTTACCTAAAATAACACATTATTTATAATAAATTAATAGATGTGATTAGACATGCTGACACATACATATAAACTATGCCTAAAGCAAATTAAAGCTTAAAAGGAAACAAAATATATTCTATGAGCAGTCTTGAAAAGCCAGCACAGCTCAATAAATAGTATGTTCTCACAAGAAGGGAGCATTAATTACTTGGTAATTTATATAGTATGCTAAAGATGAGGAAATATACAGGATATCAGGATGGGGAATACACATAGGAAAAGTAATTTCTTGATTTTCTTCATTTTGAACGTATGGCTTTCTTGTCTTTAGGAGGGAAGACTTTGACTTCAAAAGTAACAAAATATTTGAGAAGGGAATTCACATCTTTCTGTTCTAAATCGTATTCTTGTGCTATTTTCTCAGCAGTCCATGTTTCTGGATGAAGTTTATGATTATTGAGAAGTGTTAATGCCTCTACGATGGAAATTTTGCCTTTGGGAATGTTCTTAATATTCATATTAATGTAATGGTCTCTCGGCAATCTGAACTCCTTTGGCTCTTGACCTGTTTCAGCAGCTTTTACCTAGTATCAAAAAAAAAAAAAAAAAAGGCTTTTAGAATGAGAGAAAAGACTTGACATTTACCTTCATGCTTCTCAAATCTACACTATTCTTCTTCAAATAAACACTGCACATGCTTCCCCAAACTACATTTTCTCATTATAATGCGCCATAGTTTGCACTTTGGCCACATTGCCTTTTCATAACCACAGCTCTATCATCAAGAAATTTAGGTAGCTCTAGAAAATAATAATCAAATGTATACCACTCACATTATTTCATAAATACTAAAAGAAGAACAACAAAAAGAACTGATTGGGTTAAAAACCACACCTGCTTCAGAAGGGCAGGACTATGGTACTACCCTGACAGCTATTAATAACTTGATAACATTCATTTTGTTTCCTAGTTTTGTATTTTATATTCAATGCCCCCAAACACTTTGAATAAATTCAAATATTACTAGAGATCTTGCCTCTTCTGAGAAAATAACCTAATGCCTCCAATACCCCAAAACAAACAGAACAACCTATGTATACCCATCCTTTCACCTGTCTGTCCCATCCAAACTTAATCCCTCAATTTGTGCTCCACATTCCATTCTCATTACCTAGCCATGCCTATCATTCCTTTTTTCTTTTCCTTTTAACTGCACGCTGCCTACTTCTGCTTTTTTGTCAAAATATGGAAATGCTATAGTCCTACCTTTTTAAAACACTCACCAAACCCAAAACCAACATTTCCTTTAGGACTAGTTTCCTTCTCCTCAGCTAAGGTTTAAAGCACAATGATATTTGCTATTTCTAATGACCTCCTAGTTGCTTAATTCAGAGGACACTTTTCAGACCTTATCTGAACTCACAACAGCATTCCACTGTATCTGACACTGTTGATCACGCCAACATATCCGTAACTCTCTTTCCCCTTTGTTTCTTTGCCACCCTTCTGCGGGTTTTCCGTCTGTTCCTTCACCGTTTTCTTTGTGCATCCTTTCTCTTCTCCTGCCCCTTAAATGTTAGTCTGCCACAAGTTCTGATACAGGCCCTCTTCTCACTCTACACATTCTTCCAAAGTAATCCTACACACTCCCCTAACTTCCATTACTGCCAACATGTCAATGACTTCCAAATCTGTGATCTCGAACCTAGACCTTTTTCCTGACTTCCATTCCCAAATGCCTGATAGGTATCTCCACTTGGATGATCTACATACACCTCAAATTCAATATGCCTAAAACTGAACCTATCACCAGTTCTATCCCCCTATTTGCAATCTCAATAACCAAAACCACCCACCTGCCCTATATGAGGTCCCAAACTGGGAATTATATCTGACATTTCCCTCTCCCTCATGACATCCAATCAATGAACACATCCTGTTGATATTGCATCGTAAGTTTCTCTCGAACCCATTCACTTCTCCCCCATCACTAATCATTGTAGTTCAAGCCAATGTCTCCTGCATGAACTACTGCAAACACCTCCTAGCGGGCCTCTTCTAACTGGATAAAATGCACTTTGTTCCCTCCCAGCCTACTCTGAAATCTGACATCATTTTTGGACATGAAACTCTTCAATGGCTTTCCACTGCTCAGAATAAAATCAAAATTCCAAAATTCATTGACAAGACAAATAAGGACCTTCATGATCTGGCCCCTATCATCCTCTATCCCAGATCAGCCCTCATACTTTCTTTCCCCTAACTGCACCAAACTCTAATCATTCTCCAAAGGCATCACGTACTCTCATATCTTCATATTGCAACCTCAGCCTAAAACACTCTTTCCAGCTTCTTCACTTTTTAAAACTCAAAGCTTCTCTCATCTTCCTATTCCCAGATAGATCCTCCTTCCACTCCAAACACACCTTTACTCAGATATCCCTCCTAATTAATATTAAATACTAAAATAAATATTACTTGACCAAAAGAAAACCTTAGGAAATTAAAAATAGAAAAAAGTCCCAAATGTGATGAAAGTATTTTTTAATCAAAAACTAGTATCATTTTTATTATAATTAATGCTGAAACATTAGAGACATCTTATGTAAGGAAGGAACAGGTGAGAATGCCTACTTTTATTATGTTAATGTTACAGACAACAAAATAAGACAAGCATAAATATTAGAAAGGAAGAGAAATTATAATTCCATACAGATATGAAAATATCTTCATAAAAATAAGAGAATCAACTCAAAACTAATGGAAATAATAACCTAGCAATGTGAGTAGCTACAACAGAAAGATCACTCACTGATATACAACAGTCCCCCTTTATATGCAGTTTCAGTTACCTGTGGTCAACTGCAGTCTAAAAATATTAAATGGCAAATTCCAGAAATAAACAATTCATATATTTTAAATTGTACGCTGTTCTGAGCAGCATGATGAAATCTCTCACCATCCTACCTGGGATGTGAATCCTCCCTTTGTCCAGTATACCTATGCTGTAGATGCTACCTGCCCATAAGTCACTTAGTAGCTGGCTCGGTTATCACATTGACTGTCACAGTATTGCAGTGCTTGTTTTAAGTGACCCTTAATTGACCTAATAATGTCCCCAAAGGGCAAGATGCCAAAGGGAGATCATAAAATGGTTCCTTTAAGTGGAAAGGTGAAAGTTCTTAATTCAATAAGGGAAAAAAAAAAATCGTATTTTTTTCTTCTTAACTTCTTAGCTGAAGTTGCTAAGATCTATGGTAAGAATGAATCTTCTATGTGTAAAACTGTTATAATTGTTCTATTTTTATTATTATTGTTGTTAATCTCTTATTGTACCTAATCGATAAATTAAACTTTATCCATAGGTATGTATGTATAGGAAAAAACAGTATTCTATATACAGAGTTTGATAGTACCCGTGGTTTCAGATATCCGATGGGGGACTTGGAACGTATCCCCCTTGGATAAGCGGGGGACTACTGCACTAGCAATAAACAGTTAAAAAATTGAGAGTGAAAAAACATCCCACTCATAGTAACAATCTTCCCTCTATCCCTCAAAGACTTAATAATTAAAAGATGTTAATTCTCCACAAATTAATCTACAAATTCCAATTCAATGACACTCAAAATCCAAATAGGACTTATTAAAGTACCTCAGAATTTGATTCCAAAAAAATAAATGTGTGAGACAAGAAACTTCTGAAAAGAATGAGAGGACATATCAAAGATATACCATAAAGCTCTATTAATTAAAACATTATGGTTCTATTGTACAGATAGAAAAATAAGTAAATAGAACTGATGAGTCCATAAAGAAACCTGTATGTGTATGTGCAGTTGCACTTAAGTAAGTAGAAAAAGGTCTGTGTTATCTGATAAATTATATTTAGACAACTGGCCATCCACTGAAAAGAGGTTAAACTGGTCTTTTTCCCATACCAAACACCATCCCTCACTGTATACAAAGCACTTGTGCCTGGCACTTACATATTGCAGCATATGGATTTACATATAGGTTCCCATTCCCAATGTAGTCTATGATCCTCCTCCTAATTTTACATGTCCTATCTAAATATATTCTTAAGAGCAAACAAACAAACAAACAAACAAAAAACCCAAACCCACCGGCATTAAAGAAGTCCCTGAGATTAGAACACACCTGAATCTACAGAATGAGAAAACAGTACTACAGCTCTCCTTTTGTTGCTGAAATGACAGCCACTACAAGAATTACCTTACCAAATCCTGCAAATTCTGAAATAAAGAATTCACACAGTTGCATTCAATCAATACTTTCACAAGTCTTTTAGAATTCTGGTAAATATCCAGTAAATCAACACATGTGGGTCTTGCTATCTTAGACCACAGCGCTTAAACTTTGCCAAGGCACCAGACTCTGGTCACAAATACACTGACGTTTTACACTTGCAGAGCACTCTAAACTTGCCACACTTTTCTTGATCATTGTCTTGGAGCCCCAAAATAAGTAAATTATCTATTTACGTAATTAAAACACACATTACCTGCACGGAAGACACAGGATCTTTGGAATCTACATACACATCTTTTAGTAATGACAGCAGCTTGCCATCTTTTCTAGCAATTTCTTCCTTAATTTCTGGATGGCCTAAGGAAAGAAACAAAAACACCACAATGTTAAAACCAATGAAAATTTCCTCTAAGACCCTACACAAGATAGCTACTTTAATTTTTTTTTTTATTAAACATAATCATTTGGGCAGTTCGGGTTTTAACTATAAATCAAAATATTAATACTAGGTCAAGCTCAGCGTCCAGTGTTCTGTGAAGACACCTAGAGAAAATTTTGCTGCACATGATCCCTTCGGATTTTGAGTTCTTGTATCAAGTCGCCAAGCATTATAGACAAAATCTGGAGAGAGCCGGGTTAGCGGGGGCACAGGCCGCCAGCTCCCGGACTAGAAAGTAGGCGGAGCCGACAACCTCACTGCGGGCGCTGCGGGGACATTCTCAATGTCACCGGCCAGGCGGCTCCACCTTCCCTCGCTTTACTGGCCCGAGCCGCCGCGGCCGAGTAGGTTGATGTTAGTCACCCGGCCCCCAGACCGAGGTGGTCCAAGCTCGCGGAACCTCCCGGCCGGCCCAGAGCGTCCGCGCCCCCGCACCCCGAAACGCCCCTGCACCACTCACTGCCGATCTGCTCTTGCAGGAGGCTCTCGGTGGCAGGGTGCTTGGGCGCAGCAGAGGGCTTCATTTTGCTGATTTCTCTTTGAGCTCGGTTTTCTAAGTTAAAATTCCTGATTGCGCGAATCACCAAAGCCCCCATCTTATCATAACGTGGTGCCGGCAGGTTCACGCCGCACGTGGGAAAACACCCGCACGGGCGACCTCCGGGACTCACGGAGCATGCGCACGTGTGGGCCTCATGAACGCGGTTCGCCCCCTAGCGGTCGGGAGGCCAAACACCGCATCTCAGCCCAGATTGTATCAAGGGGAGCCCCTCCCTTAGGGGAGGGTGACGTGCTCCCACGTGGGGTCGCTTCCTGCGGGAGGGGGCGGGGCGTAAGCCCCAGACCCCGGCTGGTTCTCAACTCGGTAGACCTGTGGAGTTGGCGGGAGACTTTAAAGCTGTTCCGCCCAGGCGTCTGCGCAGACTTTCTGACTTAATTCCAATGGAGTGTTGGGGTGAGGCCCGGCATTGGCTGAAGCTTCCTACGGGTCAGTGCAGCCAGAGCTGAAGCAGATAAAAATAGAACTTACTACACCAGGGTCAAACAGGGTTCTAAAGTTGCCCGGTACTGCTTACATGAAAGGAAAATAATGAAAGGGTATTTATTCTCGATAAATATTTATTCTCAGCCACTCTTATTTTAAATGCCTTATCTTCCTGTCCCCTTGCCTGATGCGTTTTCGAGCCACTGTATTCTCTTTTTCCATTATTTTTTACATCCCTTCCTCATAACTCACTTGACCTAATGATATCGATTTTAGTTATACTTCTCTTTCCCTTCTCTTTATTCTCGCTACTAGTTTGATTTATTTTTCCATACTACTAAACGCTGAGTCACCCCACCATTCCCTAGCCTATGTCTGTTCTCTTGTGCCTTCCTCGTTCTTTTTAAGCTTCTGTGTAACCAATGAAAGGAACAACCAATAACACATTAGAAAAAAAACAAGTGTTGCATTCTCTCTCTTTCTCTCTCTCCCTCCTCCCTCCCTCTCTCCCCTTCCATTTCTGAATGGGTTACTGTGGTGCTGCTTTTAAGATTCTTTAGAAATATTATAATTAATCTATAATAAAAGAAACCCACCAGGAGGAAAGTAGTAGGGTTTCCAAAATTATAATATTTCACACAGACTGTGGCTGCAAAATCTGTTTTTAGAGTTCTCAGCTCTGATTAGCAAAATGAAGTAGGTTGGTTTTTTTAAACCTGTTTAAGAAAAGAATCAATGTAAAGATAATTGAAGTAATAAAAAAAAAACCCAAGAATCAAAGTAAAGGGACAGTTTTATTTAAAGAGAACTAATGTAATTATTAAATATAATGCTTAATCATAGCCAGAACATTACAAGGAACATAGCTTCCACCATTGATTATAGTGAAATGTTTTTACTGGGATTGGTATTTGGAATTTATAGAAGCTAAAACCAGTGTTCTCTGATTGAGTTAATTGGGAAGTTATCCTGAAGGTGGCAGGCTGCTCCAAGATTTCCATCTTCAAGACTTTTAGGCATAGTTGTAATTCAGTCCTTTTAGCCAAAGATATTCCTATTTCTATGGGTGCAATGAAATTTTTAACCTGCTTCATTATGTCTATATGTCTCAACCAAGGTAGCAATCACACTCAACTGCCTGTTAAATATTTTAAAAGTGAAAATCTCATTTTCTTAGAAATTCTACCTGACTACAGGCAGCATGAAAAAGTAATGTTAGAAGTCACCGTGTTGGAGTAGTAGGGATTACGATATGAAAGAATTCCTTGAATTCTTGCACATTCAGATAGAGCTTGGATTCAACATTTAGAGAGCATCTAACATGTCCCAGCTGCTTTGTGTGGTTCCGGTCTGGTGCTGCTCAGGCCCTCAAAGAGCAAAACAGAAGACAGATGTGCTAGACCAGAAGGGCACAATTGGCTGTCACCCTTTGGTAATCATCACAGAAATAAAACCTGACTATAAATGCATAATTCTGGCTCTTCTTGTCAAAACATATAAATTAACAGGAACTCTGGGCTTAAGAACTTCCCTGCGGCTTATGTTAAAGGTTGAAGTCAGGTCCCCAAGGAAAGTATAATTAGAATGCTTCTCAGAATTCAGCTTCCATCTGAATAGAGTGTCATGATAGGTATGTATGGCTGAATATCTTAAAATACTAATGAAATAAACTCGGGGTCTTACCAACACTTTAAGTTCTACGAGAACAAGAATTTTTGTCTGTTTTATTCACTGCTGTATTCAACATGTAGAATGATGCAGGTACACAGTACGTACTAAACAAATGTCAGATGAACCAAAAGACAAGTAGGATCCCTGAGCTAGAGTCCAGACCCTGGATAGGTTCTTTCTGCCTGAACACTGGCAGAACACTTGCTGGCAGAAGTCCTTGTGTGAGTTGAATCCACTTTCCTCATCTTAAAATTGGAATGATAGTAATTACCTAATAGATTTTACACAGATTAAAAATATAAATGTCTAGTACAATGCCCAACTCAGAATATCATGTTAAATATATTTGCATTGCTTGAAATCCCTATTAAAACACCAACATCATTCTTCACAGATGTAGAAAAATTAATTTTACACTTTGTGTGGAACCAGAGAAGATCCTGCATAGCAAAAACAATTCTAGGCAATAAAAACAAAATGGGAAGTATCAACTTACCAGACTTCAAACTTTATTATAAGGCTGTAGTAATCAAA